AGGTTTACAATCCTAATATGTTATTGACTGTTACAACATATGAGGCTTCATTCAATGTACAGTAGTCCACACAAGCTTTATTTAATTAAGTTGGTCTCCCCAATTAGCAAAGCACTTAATGAGATATTAATWAAGTTTATTTTAATAATTTATTCTAATAGGGTGACACCTTCAGCTAATAATGGGCCTTTTACATGACGCTGTTGTTGCAAAGGGCCTATTTAAAGTACTACAGTACATCTACATCTACATTTATTTAAGTCCATTATTAGTGGGTACCCATCACAGACAGACTGTTKTTATCAATACAGGCCCTATCAACTATTCAATTATTGTCTACTATTGGCTTTGTGACGAGTGATCATGAAACAATGTCTCTTAGACTAAGGACAAACATCAAATTTCACTTGAGCTGAATCTAATGACATCAAAGAAGACTGCCTATCACTTAAATTAGTTTGATGTTTGACTCAAGCCTACAAAAGTAAAGTGTTCATACATTTTATACTGTATTTTATAAAGTCCAACDGTGACTTAGAGCAAAATTATTCTTTCTTACCTAATTTTTTTGTTTCTTTTGGTGGTACTTGTTTGATCTCGAGCACATTTTCATCAATACAAATGGGTGCTTTCCCATTTATTTTAAGCTGAAGAACTCCAAGATTCACCAGCCATTCTTCTTTGTTTGCAGCTGCTAAGATAAGCTGGTCAATTTGATTACCAGTATCTTTAGGGAGAAACTGGAAAACTACAAAGGTGCAATCTTGGTTTGTTTCAGTCATACGAACAAAGGGCACTTCTGATGTTTTCATCATTAGCTTCTTGCTAATTGATTCTTTCAATTCATGGATTCTGGATGGATCAATAGAATTTCTTTGCCCAGTTATAAGTAGATGAAGTAAGTCTGACTGTTCTGCAACTATTATAATATAATAAAAAGAATTCAATACATATTTAAGAAATGGAGGAGGGGAGAGGATGGACGGTCAGGAGAGACAACAGGAGAGGGAGGAGTTGACAGGAGAGTTAGGAAACAACAGGAGAGGAGACGACAGATGAAGAGACTACAGAAGAGGAGAYGACAGGAGAGGAGATGATAGGAGAGAAAATGACAGGAGAGGAGATTACAGGAGATAAGATGACAGGAGAGGAGATGACAGGAGATGAGACGACAGGAAAGAAGATTTATAGTTAGATATGAGAGGAGTTTACTAGGCAAGAGGAGACGAAAAATTACCTGAAAGTTGGTTCATTAGTGACAATGGAAGATTCTTCACTTCAGTTATTGTTTTTTCAAATTCTTCTAGTCTTCTTACCAAGTCTACTCTGCTGGCTAAATGAAGTCCCTCTTTCAATAAACTAAGATTATTCTCTGAGAAAAGCCCTGATCGTTGAAAAAGATCGAGCAAATCCAATCCAGCTCCTTCTTTTCTGGGGTCGATCTCATTCAAATTTTCGTTTAGTATTGTTCCAACAATTGCGCTTTTTATAACTCTCACATCGGTCGATCTGAGCTCTCGTGCAATTTTAACTTTGAACTTATTGAAGGGATCCAAACAATTTGGTGAAACAGCAGAAGATAGATTCTTGGCAGCCATTTGCAAACACTTTGGTCCTAATCATCGCTCCATCAAAAAATATATTAGTTGTTTGACTTAGTCGAAGAGTTAGGAAGAGAATCGTAGTCTCTGGAGATGAGTTTTAACTGTTTTATGAAACAGATTCTGACTTGGTTCCGTACAACGATGGAAGACGGAAGTAGTTTAGACGTTTGCGCATGCGTGCATTTTAGCATGTTTTCTAAGAATTTTGTAGAGTTTAAAAATAAAATGTTTGTTTTCTCCAAGTATACAAAAAAGTTCGAGAGTATTCTTTTGTCAGACAAAGATAACTGTATTATCAACAAACACAATATGAAAGTATTAGCCTTAAGTTTCAAGCATGGACACTAAGTTTTGGCATTTTGTGAAGCAAGGGCGGATCCAGGGGGAGGGTCGGGGGGATCGCGACCCTTCTGTCATTCCTGAGGTCAAATGGGCTTCCTGTGGTAAAAATGCGACTGGGATTCCTTTGCCCACAAAATTTACCCCTGAGACCCCCCCCCCTTCAAAAAATTCTGGATCCGCCCTTGTGAAGTCCAATTTATCAGGCATGTTTGAAAGTCAAATTTACTTATGTTTTGACTAATTTGAATACGGATTCAAAAACATGCGCAGACGTTTTTCACTTGTGTCAATCTCGTACCCAGAGCCCTTATTTCTTACTGCGCATGCTCGACGAAATAATTGGGCTCTGGAAAACTCCAAACCGGAAGACCCAGATTCTGGGTTTCTC